ATGGTGATTATATATACATATATATGAATGATACACACACACACACACATACTGGGGGCGTGTAGCATGGATTGAACCCAGGGGTCGATTAACCACTGAGTCACATCCCAAGCCCTTTTAATATTTTATTTAGAGACAGAGTCTCACTAAGTTGTCTTCTTAGGACCTTGTAAATTGCTGAGGCTGGCTTTGAACTTGCAATCCTCTTGCCTCAACTCCAGAGTTGCTGGGGTTACAGGCATACACCATCACACCAGCTTTCTTTTTCATTTTTAATTGGCTGAGCCTTTAATTTTTATCATTTTTAAAAAATGGATGATAACATTGTATGTATTTTTATGTACAATATGATGCTTGAGGTATGTATATTTATTTCAGTTTTCCTAGTTAACTTTGTCCTGTGAGGTTTTCCAAGAGGCATCCTATTCAGAAAGTCCCATCAGATTACGTGGATTGGTCTCTCTGCTGCAGCTGTTGGACCACTAGTGCAGCTATATGCTCAGGATTGCTACAGCTGCCCGGTAAACATTAGAATTTTATAGTGTTCCCTGGGCCAAAGCAATAGGGCAACCACCAAGATATGCACATCTTTTGCTGTGGGCTCTCCTTTTTTGCTTACAGTTGCTACAGTTAATCCAGTTCTGCAAGTGCTCCCAATGTTTTTTTTTGGGGGGGGGGCAAGACAGGTGCCTGCCTCTTGTGAAGGGCCCCAAAATATCAGTGAAGCTGAATGTCCACCTCCACCTCACATTTTCCACTGTAAAAGTTCTTGTGTATAGGGGGATGTGTGTGGTTTCATTCTAGCTGGGGGAGGGACAGCATGGGAAAAGCAGTTTCACTTACCCTTTGAATCCTGCATTTCTTGAGAAACGTTGTCTAGGCTCACTCCCAGGGTAATGTTCTTGTCTTTGGAAATTTGCTGGGTGAATTTGTATGAGTGGGGCAGGATGAAGCTGAAGCACTCCTATTTGGCGATCTTCCTGGTGCTACCCATACTAATTCTCTTTGAGTAGTTAACATACATGTAAGTTTGTTTGTTTGTTTGTTTGTTCTGGGTACTGGGGATTAAACCCAGGGGCACTCAACTACTGAGCCACATCCCCAGCCCTTTAGACACAGGGTCTCACTGAGTTGCTTAGGGCCTCACTAAATTGCTGAGGCTGGCTTTGAATTTGCAATCCTCCTGCCTCAACTCTTGAGCTGTTGGGATTACAGGTGCCACTGCACCTGGCTATATATTATTAATTTTCAAATGGTCTGTGTTATGGTCTAGATGTGGTACCCCCCTAAAGCTCATGTGTAAGACAATGCAAGAGTGTTTGCAGGAGAAATGATTGGGTTATAGCCTTAACCCAGCCAGCGAATTAATACCTGATGGGATTACTGAGTAGTTTCTGGAGGCCGGTGGGGTGTGGCTATGGGGCATATATTTGTATCTGGCAAGTGGAGACCTCTCTCTGCTTTCTGATAACATGAGAGCTGCTTCCCTGTGCCACACTCTTGTGCCATGAGCCTCGAGGAATGGAGCTGGCCTTCTGTGAAATAAGACCTTGGAAATTGTGAGCCCTTAAATAAACGTTTCCTCCTCTACAGTTGTGCTGGTTGGGTCTTTTAGTCATAGCAGTGAAAAAACTGACTAAAACCATCTGTGATCAGTATGAATCAATTTTACAGTCAGAAATTACAATAATTGGTTATAAACCATCCCTTTAGTGTCTGGTTCTTTCCATTTTTTTTCTGATCACCATCCCTTGCTTCAGACTGGGTGCTCCTTTTGTATTGCCATTCACGTTTGGCTGCTTCAAGCACTGAATGATTTTCTGCCTTACTTCACTTTGGACAAGAATTCTAGAGTTCAGCCAAGAGGAGTGAATCTTGGACTTAGAGGATGAGAATAGACCTGGTAACAGGAGTGCCCCCAGGGAGAGCCAGGATAATGACAGTCCTCAGTATTTTAGTGAATTTTAATTTCCTCTGCAAATAAGTTCCATTCCTGGGCTTTGATGAATGTGCACACAATAAGATTGGCCACTGTTGGAACTGTGTTATGTGTTAGGAGCCATGTGTGAACTGTATGCAAACTGGACAATGTTGGTGCCATTAAGGCAGGGAAGTCCGTCTTCCAGGAACTCCTGGGTGAAATTCCCTAGTTGGAGATATCCCAGATCATGCTGGCATCCTGTCCTAGCTCACAGCTCCTGTTCAAACACAGCCACTGGAGATGAGCATAACCTGCCAAGGATAAACAACCTGTTTGTCTCCTCTCTCATCCTGTCCACCCTCCCTGCCCCAAGGAAATCTCTATCTATCCCCTTTGTTCTGTACCACTATAAATAAAGCAAGCGTGGGCTTTTTCTTTGTTAGAAGTCAGACCCATCTGGTCAGCTAAACAGGTCATGCCTGTGCTTTGAAAATATATAATTCTTGCTTTTGTCTTTATTTCAAAGCTTTTATTTCACAGCCAGTCCATCCCTCTGATGGGTACCCACTTCCTCGCCCAAGCAGGATGTGAGCGACATGTGGTAATGTGTTATGGGCAATGGGCACTGGCCAGTCCAAACTCTGAGAGATTTCTTAGCCTGATAATTACTGCCATTTGGGCCACATAGTTCGCACCCTCTACCCAGTTGTAATAGCCTAATTTGCCTCCAGAAAGTGTCAAATGTTTGATGGACAAAATCATCTATAGTTGAGAAGTGCTGGTTTAGAGGAGAGTTCTAGAAGGACTACCTGAGTCTTCTTGTTCTGAGACTTGGAAAATATCATTTTTTGTAAAAGATTCTTGAACCAGTTTTTCAAGACCAATTGAGAGAACTCCAAGAGGAAACAAGTGTGTTCCTCCAGCTCTTAAATAGGCTTCCTGTGTTGGGTGTACAGGGGCAACAACATTTACCTGTTCAGATGATCTCATGTGTTTCATACTGACATGAATGGTAGAAAAATATTAGGTAATATCTACTTACACGATTTTACATTTTATTAAGAAATAGAAATTTTTGATATTGGAAACTGAATCCAAAGGCACATGACCACTGAGCTATACGCCAGTCCTTTAAAAATTATTTATTTATTTTTGAGACAGTCTTCCTAACTTGCTTAGCTTCACTAAGTTGCTGAGGCTGGGAGGCTGACTCACAATAAGGGGAGGTTCTCTGGATTAGACACAGGTAAATGGGGAAACAGAGGGGGGTGGGAGAAGGAAAGACAGTATGAATCAGACATAACTTTCCTATGTTTCTCTATAAATACATGAACAGTGTAACTCCACATCATGTAAAACCACAACAATGGGAAGTTATACTCCATGTATGTATATATGTCAGAATACTTTCTACTATCATGTATAATTAAAAAGAGCAAATAAAAATACTGAAAATAAATAACTAAAACAAAACAAAAATATTATAAGAAAAAAAGATACGCCATTTAAAAAAAAGTTGCTGAGGTTGGTCTTGAACTTGTGATCCTTCTGCTTCAGCATACCCAATCACTGGGATTATAGGCCTGAGATACCATGCCTGCCTGATGGAAGACTGAGAAGTATGCATTGGGAAGGGGCATTTGTGTGGTGAGTTACTCACTGGCCATGCCAAAATAATACAGAATAATGATTTGGAGAGCAGTGGTGTCAGTCTAGGTCCAGTTGTGAAAATAAAACTAAAGTATTTTATAGAGGCAATGTTTAATATGAGGAATTATTGACTCTAACAGTGATTATCTACTGAGAGAGAAAGAGCTCTAAAGATTCATAGGTGGCGTGTCTGGGAAGCAGCCCTTATCTCCAAGGCTGAGGCAGAGCCCTTAAGGAAAGAATATCTGGAAGAGCCTCCTGCCCACCTCCAGGGCTTCAGATCCATTCTTCCTCGGACAGAACATGCCTTGTTCCTCTGGGTTGCAATGAAGGTCGCTAAGGGTCACATCTGCTGAACTCACTGGGGGAAACTCTCTTCAGCACACAGGAAACCCCACCCCAGGAGATACAGCAGGGAAAATCCCTAATAAAGGGCTAACTGCAGAAGGAGGCAATGTCTTTCGGGGACTTTCTGAGAATGGCACATGTACTGCTGGTTTTCCTCAGCTTGTGGGACAATGTCAGATGGCAGAGAGCCCAGTTTTGTTGTGAGGTGGGTTACTCATGCTGAGGATATGACAAGGGTCAAGGGTCAGTAATAAAGTGCACTGATGTGCTTATATTTTTCTGGCTGTCCTGGTGTTACTTAACTCAATCTGCAAAACAACAGATGGCAAGGTACCATTAGTATTCCCATTTTAAAGATGAGGAAACTGGAAACTAAGAAGCTTAAATGACTTGGCAGTAGTGGACTCTGGGATATGAACTATGTGATCAAATTCCATAGCCTGAGCTCTGAAATTCTTGGTGTATTGAAAATACTCCCCCCTGCCCCCTTATTTTTTCAAGTTATTGCTGCCTACACTTAGGTTTTTCTGTACTAAATCTGTTCATTGTGTTTCCGTGTTATCACTCCCTCTGTGCTAAACCTGTAGCGCTACTGCTGCTGCCACAAACAATTTGGCTCCAATGTACTCTTTCTTCTTTGTTTTATATACCCAAAGTTCTGAGTCTCCCAGACACAGTGAGTGTCCAATATTGAGTTTTAATGAAATCCATCTTTTACCCACCGCTCAGAGAAGCAGTATTCCTGCTGCTTGAATCCCAAGCCATGGAGACACTAGGAATGCAGCCTTCCTCTAAAGTGCTATCTTGAATCCTCCCCGCCCCCATATTTTGACTTCTATACTAAAGATAAGTTTTGTTGGTTTTAAAAATGTAGATTAATTGATTCATAAAGTATTGATTCTTTTGGGTCTGGTGTGTTCTTCCTATCTATGAAAATTGTATCTAAGATAGTCATAGATCCTATCCTATGGGTGTTATCCATGTGTTTTACAAGATAACTGTTCCAGCTACACACATGTCACACTTTATCCTTTCTACTGTGCCAGGTTTCACAAGACATGTTAAGATATTCACATGTCACTTCAGGCTGTGGCCTTAATCGTTTGTGTCATAATATCTAGTGAGTTAGCACAGTTGACTTGTGATTTCTGTCCATCAGTAACTTAATTGTATACAAAAATAAGTGTGAATACATAGATAAACCTCATTAAACCAAGATAAATATCCTTTTAATTCATCTTCCTCTACAAATAAGGAACATGTCCACAGCCTTTCCAGTTTCACTCAAATGGAGAAAAGTTTGTTGGAAAGAGTGGCAGAGTAGAGACTGTCATCTAAGGACATTTCTTGCCACCAAGGGTGGTCTGATGATGTTGCCTTCCCATGGTCCACAGAAGACATAGTAGATGATGGAACAGCTTCTACAACATTAAGGAAAATTATTAGCCTATGTTATATTATCCCAGAGAGCAAATAACTCTTCAACCAAAGATCTGGAGCCAACACCCACCCAGATTCTCCAGATCTCAGGCACTGCCCCACTCAGGAGGAGACTCCTGTGTGTCCCTCCTCTCACTGCACTGCTGTGCTACCTACAGTGGCCTCCTCTACTCAGCAGCAGTCATTCCAGCACTACTGTGGAGTGCGCAGTGCTCAAGGCTAAGGAAGGGCATCATTTCTGTGGAGAGATATCAGTGGCCAGGGGCTTGGGTGAAACTGGTGGGACACCTGTCCCAAGGCCCTACCAGACTGAGACAGCGCCACCCAAAGGCCAGAGGACAGCCTATTCCTCACCTTTCATGGTGTCTGTTGATTTCATATAGAACTTGATGGGCATGAAGATGATGATGACTGACGACTAAAATTAAGACAATGATGATCACTAAGCTGGTCACTGAAACAGATGAGGTACGTGGAGACCCGCTGGTAACTGGGACTGTTGGTGTTGGTGCTAAAACAAACAAAAGAGCAAAATCCTTGTCAAAATTAAAAACATCCATTCTTCAGCACCCGTTTTCCCCATACAGTGCATGCGACTCATATATACTGACTCATTATGGGACAATTATTCTACCAGGTCCTGGGGGTACAAAGATGAACAGAGGTTGTGCCATGTCCTTATAGAGCTCACGTTACTACTGAAGGGGACAGCAAAAGTCCATCCAATTTGTTGAGGGATAACTGTAACAAGAGAAGGCCTGGAAGTTTACAGAAATGTATATAGACCTGGGAACTAGTTGGCCGACCATTAATGACTGGATCATTGATTAATGGACAATGGGGGCTCCTGTAAAGAAGAGACCTTGGGAGGTGAGATGAGAAAGAAGGCTGGTGACAAATCCACATGGCTATCACTGATTGTCCAGTCAAGAAGCCGATGAAGAAATCAGTCATTCAACCCATCAAATTTTTCATTATATGCACATGCTCACACCCCACAGGAAAATCAACATACTTTTAAAGAGAACTCCCACATCTTCCCATCCTGCTGAGTTTCATAGTAACTCAGCTCTCTACCTGGCATTTCCTTCCAGTGCTCTGAGAATTCCCTGAGCCAGTGACTGCAATCTCCCATGGAGACCTTCCTTAAATGTTCTGTCAGTTCTTTGTCATTCTCCCACTTCTCCTTGATCTCCCTGGCTCTGGGATTAATCACTGTCCACTCCATGTGCATCACATTTAAGCATAGATATGGCTGTCCATCAATGCTGAAATTCCAGAATGAACCAATGTGATTTTTTCCTTCAAGCTGACAAGACATCTTGGCCTGCAGGGTGAGATGACCTGCAATACACAACAAAAGCATCATCTCCCACTCTTGATAGATCCGTCACCTCCCAATAGGTTGAGCGTTTCTCTGCACATTTAGAGGTCTGTATTCTTTTCTCCCAGTTTTGCCCTTTCTTGCCCATTAAGCCCCACATCCCTCTAAGGCTGGGCCAATGTCCAGCTCTTTTACACAAACACATCCAGAGCCTCCTCCACATGCGCACTCCACCCTTTCCTCATTCCTGCTCTCTCTGTCTCTTCACCCCATTCCATACTTACCCCTGGCCATCTTTTGTTCCAAGTTTATGTCAAGCAGGATCATCCTGAGATCTTGCCCCAGTTCTCTCAGCATTTCGGTCAATTGTGTCCATGTTTTGGTGGCATTCACCTCCCTTCCCAGGTGACCCAAAGGTTTGATCTTATTGCTCTCACAGTCATACTGAAGGAAAGCGGTCTTATCCACTGAGCCCTGCACTTCACACCAGGACTCCCCAGGTCTGGACTGAGATTTGACAGTGAAGTCGAGGCAAAGAGAGTGGGTACCTGTGAGAGAAACATGGAAGTGAGGTTCAGGACAGGGAGAAGAGGACCATTAGTTCCCATCCTTCTGTGACTCCCAGACTCCCTCTGAAGGGCAATGCTGGCAGAGGGAGGAGTCTTCATCCTAAACCTCCTCTATCTAGATCTTTTATTTGGTGTCACCTTTAACTGAGGTTGTAGGATGCTCTCATGCTATCAGGGACCCCTCACAGGCACTGTTACCAGGAGAATTAATCTGAAAGCACTTTCAGTGACCTCTACCAAGTTCTGGGTACAAAAAAATACAAGATGGTATCTGTCCTCCTGAAACCTAAAACCTAGCTGAACAGTCAGTATTTCCAATAGAGAGAAAAAGGAGGCATCAGAGATCACAGGCCAAATTCATCATGGTCTTGGTGTTCAGGGAGGTCATCATGGAGTAGATGCAGGAACATGGCAGCAGAGGGGAGCTGCCACACAGGAGTACAGAATCTAGTCTGGTGTCCTAGGCTGGAGCCCTATGAGCTGATTGCCTCTCTATTCTCTATTTTACAAAAACCTACATGGAACACTGAACATCTTTTTTTGTTTTGGGCATTGTCTCCTAGCCACTGTCACCTCCCTAAGAGAAAATACGTGGCTATCCTAAAGATGTGGAGGTACACATGCACACAATGCAAACCACAAACAATATTTATTTGGCATGGAAACCTCTTATGTTCTCACAGATTAGGAAAAAGTTTAAACTAGAATCTGATCATTTCTCACTCTCACCCTAGATCAACCACCAACTTTCACCTGCTGCCTCTTACTACAGCAACCTCCTAGTGGTCTCCCACTGAAATGGCCCGTGAGCTTTATTTTAAAAATCAGAATCATGGAGGAGGCTTTATTGAGATATCTGCATGCCTTCTGATGTTCATAGAGCATAATGCTGGCCCTTTTATGTTCAATTCAGTGGTTTCTTGGGTTTACATGTGGTTTTGCTATCTTATTCAACAACATTTTTATCATTCCAGGAAACTGTACACTTTAGTAGCCACATCTCTAACGGGACTGACATCTTCACCCCTCCCCTGTAGCTCCTGGCAACCAGTAATGTGCTTTCTGTCTCAGTGCTTTTGTCTACTGTAGACATTTCATAGAAATGGAATCATACAATAAGTTGCTTTGTGTGACTGACTTCTCTCACTTCGTGTAATGTTTTTAAGGTTCATCTATGATACAGCATGTATGACTACTTCATACCGTTTTATGGGCAAATAATGATCCAGTGTGTGAATATACTATATTTTGATTTTACATTCATTAGCTCATGACATTTGGATTATTTCTACTTTTTGGCTCTTCTGAACAATGCTGCTGTGAGTATTCTTGTACAGTGTTGTGTGTGTGTATTTTTACTTCTTTTGGTTATACGTTTAGGAATGGAATTGTTGAGTCTGATAATATTTTGAGGGATTTCTCAACTGGTTTTGAAAGTGGTTGTATTATTTTACATTATCACCAGCAAAAGTATGTGGGCTCTGATTTATATCTTATATTTGTCTTTCTGATTATAGCCATTCAGGTGAATGTGAAGTAGTATCTTATTGTGGTTTTTATTTGTATTTTCCAGATATTAATAGTAAGCATCTTTTCATTGGTCATTGATGGTTAGAGTATCTTCTTTGGAGAAATGCCGATTAAGCTCTTGGCTTATTGGGAAATTTATTTTCTTATTGACTTTTAAAAGAGTTCATATATATTCTGCATACAAGTTCCTCATTAGATCTGATTTTCAGATATTTCTCAAATTCTCTTGTGTTTTTAATTTACTGTTATTTATTTATTTTTCGGTACTGAGAATCAAACTTAGGGGTGCTAAACCACTGAGTCACATCCCCAACCCTTTTATATTTTATTTAGAGACACAGTCTTACTAAGTTGCTTAGGGCCTTGCTAAGTTGCTGAGACTGGCCTTGAACTCATGATCCTCCTGACTCAGCCTCCAAAGCCACTGGGATTACAGGTGTGCACCAGTGCACCCAGTTAATTACTTTCTGGATGGTAATGTAAGCAACACAAACATTTTTAATTTTGATGAAATCCAGTTTATTTTTTCTTTTGCTGCTTGTTCTTTTGGTGTGATCTGTAAGAAGACTTCATCTAAATTAAATGTCAGAGATACTCCTATGTTTTCTTCTAAGTGTTCATTACTTTATTTAATATATTTAGGTTGATAATTTATTTTGTGTTAATTTCTGTGTATGGTGTAAAGAAAGGGTCTAACTTTGTTCTTTTGCACATAGATATTCCGTTGTCAAAACTGTTTAAAAATTGCTGAAAAGATTATTTTTTCCTCATTGAATTGTTCTGGCACCTGTGTTGAAAATTAAGTGATCATTTATTTCTATGCTTCCAGTTCTATTTCATTCATGTTTATGTCTACCTTTATGTTATATCACACTGTCTCAATTTCTGTAGAATTGTAGCAAGTTTTTCAGTTGGTAAGTGTGAATCCTCCAGCTTTGTTCTTTTTAACAATAATTTTGACTTTTCTGTTTCTTTTGCATTCTCACAGGAATCCTGGGATCAGCTTGTCATTTTTCTGCACAAAACAACAGCTGAGACTTTCCTATGGATTGCACTGAGCTTTATGATTCAATAAACTTAAGGAATATTGTCATTGTAACAATATTAAGTCTCCTATCTGTGAACATGGAATGTCTATACTTTTATCTAGATGTGGGTTTCAGTGAAAAAGTCTTCTACCTCTTTTGTTAAATTTATTCACATTTTACCTTTTTTGTGTGATTATATAGGGAGCTGTTTTCTTAATCTCACTTATAGAATCTTTATTGCAACCACATAAAAAGAGAATTGATTTTTGTTTATATCTTATCCTGTATCATTGCTAAACTTACTTCTTAGTTCCAATAGGTTTTGCGTGATTATTTTTTTATAATTTTGTTTGGAGTATTTACTATTTCAACATGTAATAAAATTACTAATAATGTAGCTCTTATATCTACCATTTTGTTCTCAATTTCCCATATATTTTATGGTGGTTTTTTTTTTTGTTTTTTCTCCTCATCATTTTTGCCTCCTTTATTAAATAGATATTTTCTACTGCATCATTTTAGTTCCTTTTTCTTGCTTTTTTAAAAAGTTATTTTCTTAGTGGGTTCCCTAGGGATTATAATTAATGACTTACAACAACCTAGATTGGATTCAACCAATTTAAATGTAATAGTATACAAAATCTTTGCTCCAATATAGTTCTGTTCCCTTTCCCCTCTTTGTGACAGTTGTCATACAAAGTATATCTATGTGTAATAAGCCCATCAACATGGCTCTATAATGATTACTAATGTAGTTGTCTATTAAATCAGAGAGGAAATGAGCAGAACTATATAGTGTCCCTGCAAATTCACCTAGTCACCAGTTCCCAGGGCTCCTGGCCTTACTGGAAGCCTTGGGCAGGAAGTGCCACACAATGGCAGATGGGGTGGGCAGCCCTTGTCATCCAGGGTCAGTCCTGCTACAAGTTGGGTCCTACCCTGGAACCTCTGTGTTACATGGGAGGGGAGTTACTATTGCAGATAAGTTAAGGTCACTCATCAGTGGACCTGGACATGGAGTGATTTTCTGGATTATCCAGGTGTGTCCAAAGCCATCACAGGAGTTTTATAAATGAAGAAGCCAGCAGAAGAGGAAGAACTAGATAGCACCCTAAGGAGTCACCTTGACACTGATACCTTTGAGAATGGAGAAGTAACATCTTGAACCAATGAATGTGGGCAGGAAGAAATACGTTCCTCTAGACTCAGGAAAAGGCCAGGAAATACTATTCTTTCTGGAGTTTCCTGAAGGAATACAGCCTTACAAAGAAATGATTATTGATTATAACCCTGTGAGAGTTTGGTGTTTACATCTCCAGAACGATGAAATAATATATATATGTAATTTGTTATAGTAGCAATAAAAATCTGGCACAGTGTGTTTAAATAGGTCACTGAATGAGGGGGAAAAAACTCAGGTTGAGAAGGTTCAGGACTGTTCCAGCAGGTCAAGGTATTACAATTTTAAATAGGTACCTTTACGTTCAAAATGGTTAAAGGGGGAAAATATATCTCTATTACATGACAATTTTAAAAATTAAATAAAGAATAAATGAATAAAGGATTCAAATGGGGGAGGCATGGAAGGGTGAGTCACCTGAGAACTAGATATGAGAATGACACAGGTAGATTCCTCAGGAAACAACAGTCCAGTCTGAAGGGATGGCAGTGCAAAGGCCCTGAGGCTGGAGAAATGTGCGATATGCTGAAGACCAGCAAGTAAACACTGGGGTAGGGACTAAGTGAGCAGGGGACAGAGTGCCTTATTCAAGTTTCCTCATCTATTTGGTGAGACAATTCAGTAGAAGGATTATATTTGAGTTGCCCTCAAATTTATATGTTGAAACCTAATCAACAATGTGTATTAGGGATTTAGGATAAAGAGAGAGAAATATGGAATCTTAAGGGAAACACCCTCAAGCCACTGAAGTGCAGAATCATGCCACCGAGATGCAGAAGACACAGTTGCAAACCTTGGCCCATGCCCTTGTAAAATGAGGGAAATACACAAGTGCAGGAAAACTGGGGAGAAATTTTGCAGCCCCACCCTGGATCCACCTCCACTCCAGCCTCTAGTACAGCTCTTCTCTAAATATTGGGCCCCCAGCCCAAGTCAGGGCTGCTCCTCACTCAAGTCAGCTGCGTTCTCCCTTGAATGTGTATCTACCTTCCTAAATAAAGCCCAGTCTATGTCTTTGTCTGGCTCATGCTGAAATTCTTCTCTGATGCATATGCCAAGGACCCAGCTAGTCTTGAGCCAAGTCAGCCTGCTTCTGGGAATCCTCAGACCCCTTCTCCAGAAACTTCTTCTCCTGTGACAAAGTCATTGATTGGTGGTTAGGTTGTTGGGAGTGGTGACTGAAGTATGGGTCTTGAACTGTCCTGTGACAGAGGTGATGCCTCTCTTGGGAACTCTCAGGG